CTCTTCATAAGGTAATAGGATTTCCCCACCCCAGGCGGTTGGTTAGAGGGGGGGGGGATGTATGTGAGAGAGAGGGGGACTGTTTACTGCAGTCAGTGAATGGGAGCCCCATGAAGTGATGCCAATAGAGGACCTGTGACCGTGTGTGTGTGCGTGTGCGTGTGTGTGTGCGTGCGTGTGTGATAGGGGGGGGGATGGGGGAACAAGCAAGTGATTTATAACAGCTACTTCAGGTCTCTCCTCTCTCCCACAGCAGCACCACAAACACATCCATTACCAAAGCTCTGATGTTAATGGGGAGGCTGCGCGTGCGCGTGCGCGCGGGCCTGCGCGCTCGCACGACCCTAAAGGCTGCAGAAGCGCGAGAGCGCGTACCTTTTTGTCCGCGCGTGTGAGGCTGATAACCAGATGCTGGCGGGTGAAAAAGGAAAGGTGAAGGTTACCGGGGGGGTGGAGGTTTGCTCCCCCCCCTCCACACACACACACACACACGCCACACACACACACACACACACACCCCTCTGCTGGTTTCCGCGTGTCGGCGTGGGCGCGTGGGGAGCGAGGCGGATTTTGTTTTTGGACTTTTATAGAGTAGGCTGATTTCAGTTTTTTTTGGGGGGCGCGCGTGTGAGAGCGCGTGTTGCTCTGCTGGAGATAGGCAGGCAGCAGAGGAGATGGAGGGATAAAACCCCGAATGGAGGAAAAGACTCCTGAGAGTAAACAGAGGGAGCAAAGACGAAATAAATAAAGAGGAAGTGGAGCTTCTCAGTAATGGGCCGGTGGATGCTGGAGAACACACTCTGTCGTGTGTGTGTTTGTGGGAGAAGATAGACCTTCAAACCATATATATATATATACATGTGTGTGTGTGTGTTTGTGTGTGAGTGTATATGTGTGTGTATAGTTGTGTGTGTACACGTGTTTGTAGTTGTGCATGTGTCTCTAGGTGTGTTTGTGTTTGTGGGAGAAGATATACCTTCAAACCATATATATATATACATGTGTGTGTATGTGTGTGAGTGTATATGTGTGTGTGTGTGTGGGTATATGTGTGTGAGTTTTTATGTGTGTGTGGGTGTATGTGTGTGAGTGTTTATGTGTGTGTATACACATAAATTGTGTGTATTGTGTGTGTACACGTGCGTGTAGTTATGCATGTGTCTATAGGTGTGTTTGTGTAGTTGTGCGTGTGTCCATGTGTGTAGTTGTGCATGTGTCTATATACATGTGTGTGTGTTTGTGTGTG